AGTTTTATTTGCAGATGATACAAATTTATTTTATTCTAATGGAGATATCAACCTCTTATTTAAAATAGTAAACAAGGAATTTTTAAATCTAGCGGAATGGTTTAAGGCAAACAAATTGTCCTTAAATTTAAATAAAACTAAGTATACTTTTTTTCATAGACTTCACGATAAAGAAAATATTCCATTAAAACTTTCTGATCTTTACATTGGCAACTCTAAAATAGTTAGAAAGTCACCATTAAAGTATTTAGGAGTGATACTTGACGAAAACATGACATGGAGAGAACACATAAGAACAATTGAAAATAAAACTTCAAAAAATATTGGCATACTATACAAAGCTAAGCAAATCTTAAACCAAAACTGCTTAAAAATTTTATTTTTCTTCCTCATACGTTGTTATATAAACTATGCAAATATTGCATGGTGCAGCTCTAATGCAAGTAAAGTTAAAAAATTGCTTACTAGACAAAAACACGCTGTCAGGATTATTTCAAATGCAGGTTGATTTGCACATTCTAAAGAACTATTCAAAAATCATCACATACTCAATGTTCTTCAGTTAAACCTTTATCAAATTCTTATATTTATGTACAAACTACATAATAAATTAACTCCTATAATTTTTAATACATTTTTCAATAAAATTAGTCACGTGTACCCTACAAGATTTTCAAATTACAATTGCGAGCAACCTAAAATACACTATTTGGCTACTAAATTTTGTATTGCCATCAGAGGTCCTAAATTATGGAACACTTTATTAAATAACCAGCTGAAAAATTGTTCTTCACTTTCTCTATTTAAACAAAAACTCAAACAAAAACTTCTTAACGATGTTAGTGAATTAAATTTTTTTAAGATTCTTTTATCTACTTTTTTAACAACTATCTTATTAACTAGTCTAACCAATTTAAATTTTCTTTAATTATCCTATTAACTTAACCTCAGTTTTTAAGTGTGATTGCTTTTTTTTTTTTTTTTTTGATTTTCTTTTGATTATAGATTAGTAACTGATCTTAACATATTTGTATATATTTGTATATAATTTTTAAATGGTACAAAGTAATTTTATATTTTTATTTACATTTTAATGTTTATACACGCTTGCTGATAAAAGCTCATCGGGGTGTAGTGATAAGGCAAATATTGTCTTCTTTTAGCCCCGGTCATGTAGATTTTATTTATGTAACACGGCATTGTATTCTTTTTATTTAATGACAAATAAAAAAAAAAAAATAAAATAAAAACTTAATCCAAATGGTTAGAGATTCAAATAACTAAAGTAAATGCAAAGGAAGAAGAAGCTATCAAAATCATTTGTAATCATATTAAACTTATGTAGATGTTTCTTGATTTAAATAAATAAAACTAAAATTAAAATATGCGATTTTTTTTATACACGGTAGGTGGAGAATCGATTACGGTAGGTGTTGCATTATCACGGATGGCGAAGAAACGTACTAGATCTTACAAAAAATTAAAAATAACATTAAAATAATAATTTTACTCAAATTTTAATAATATAAACAGTTAATAACTGAGTATAAAATATTAATTCGAAAACCCTAAATAAAAATCTGTCATGGTTTTGGAGTTTGAAGTTAAAAGTTTTCTTAAAGTCGCGGTAGGGGAAGCCATGACCCTACATATGAAGGTAAAAAAATTTGGAATAATTTTTTTATTTAAAAATTGGTTATTTCAAAGATTTAAAAACCTTGCTACGCCACTGGCAAGACCGGATGTGTATTGATTATCAATCAGAAATCTGAACATAAGTTTGCGCTCATTACTAATAATGCATTAAAAAAAAATCCAAGTCTTTGTCACAATTATGCATAAAAAGTTAATTTATGGTGCTTCTTTTATTAAATATTTGAAGTATCCTCCGATAGGTTTTTTTTGTCTGAGAGTGCTATTGAAGCCAAAAAGTAGGAAAACAAAACTACACGAGTTAAAACTTTCTTGATAGAAAGCATTAGGGATACAGCTAATTATTTGTTAATGACATATTATATGTACCTCTCTGTTGCAAAAAAAAAATAAAAAACAAAATGAATATAAAAGAGTTAAGGCAAAACAGTTTAAAAAAGCAAAGTGACAGTTTTTCTGATAACTGTTTAAAATTAAGGTAAAATAAACAGAATGCTATTTTTTTGAATGTTATAGTTTTTTTTTTGAATGTTTTACTTTTGTTAATAGGTTTGACTATTTTTGTTAATTTTTTTATTTTTTGATAAAGAAGTCTCAATATTGTTTATAATAACCATTTAAAGTTTTTTTTTTTTTTTTTTTTTTTTTAAATTGAAGAAATAATTTAATAAATTTTAACTAGTAATTAACTAAGAATTATATCATGAAAATGTTTTACTGATGAGCTGTTCTGCGTTTTACTGATGAGCTGTTCTGCGTTATACTGATGAGCTGTTCTGCGTTGAATCTTTTAAAAAACGGCTGAAGTTATTAAAAGCATCTATTAGAATAGAATGTTTAGAAACTTTGTAAAAAACCTTAGAAAAAAACCCAGATGATAGCAGACTTGATTTATAACTTTAATAAATTTTTATTCAATGATATTTTTTATTATTAAGTTGTGTTTATAATGTAATTGTAGAATTCGGCCGATGTTATTCGCACGGCCGCCGTGTTCCCATTCTAAAAAGGCTATTCGCACGGCCGCAAAACCAAATCTTGCAATCAGTTTTTGAGTCACTTCCTGATGATAGATTTTCTTCAAATTTTGCATACATACTCTTACTTGATAACAATACAATATTCAACAATTAGTTATGCAATAAGTTAACTAATTTAGTTAATTTTAATCAAATTTATTTTTTATATGGAAAGAAGAATTTAAAATTTATAAATAAGTATAGTAATTGTTTAAATACTTAAACGCGCGTTTAGCTTATTTGGTAATGTCGTCGACTTCGTAACGTAAACTGAAGGTCGGAGGTTCGAGTCTTTCGGCTTTCTGAATGTTTTTTGTTATTTTACACAAGCATACAGCGGAATGTTAATAAAATAAAACAGTATTATAAGAAAAAACTTATTGCAAAATTTTGTTTTTAAAACATATAAAAGCACTGGGTTTTAAAAATTATTTCTTCATTTTACTTGTTCTTTTCGCGTTTTTTTACAATTTATTAGAATTCTGTCATTTTCTTTCAAATCTTCTTTTTCAGCTTTTAATTTGTTTTGTTGTACCTATTAATTAATTCTAAAGTTACGGTGTAGTCCTAATTCAAATTTTGCCAATTTGACCGTGCAACACCTTTTCTAAAATGTTTATAAGGCAGCCGTGCCAATAGTCTTTTTTAGAAGTTGTACACGGCGGCCGTGCCAATAGACACTATCGTACAATTCTGTAAAATATCGGCGCTTATTTCTGTTTTTTGAGTAAATTAAAATTATTCGGGCTACGCAGTTTATCGGTTTAGCCCAGATGAACCGAAAAAAATACAATAAACTATTTTCTCATAAAACCCAAGGAGGTTTAATAAACAGGAGACGCCGTAGTATATAATTTATATAAATGGTGAAGCCAGTTTTGAAAGTCAGCCGCCACCTTGGTTAATCCAAAACATTGTTATGTTTTGCGCGAAACTTTATTTTTTTAGTAGAAAAATTTGCTGAAATCAAGTCAAAATATTGATATAAATCATTGAATAATTTACCAGTTGTTTTCGAGATAATATACTACAAAGAATCGTTTGCTAACTGATTATCGTGTTCAGTTTATTCCAAAATATTGGAATACTGAAGTAGACATTCAGATAGTAAACACGCTTTTAGAAGATGTCTTATTTTACACAGTGTGAACATCCTTTGAATAAAAAAAAATCTTTGTGAGTTTTTTATTAAATGTTAACAAAATTAAATGTAAGCATAAATAAAAACAAATATCTTAAATATAGATATTTAATTTTCAATCTCTTATATATATACACACATGTTTGTGTAGATATGTGTGTGTGTGTGTGTGTGTGTATATATATATATATATATATATATATATATATATATATATATATATATATATATATATATATATATATATATATATACATCATTTGTTATAGTTATAATAAAACTAAAATAAACTAATAGTTATATGGAAATGCACATAAAATATAATATAATACATATATTTTTTTTTGTTTTTTCTTTTTGTGCAATTGTCGACTCAGTATGAAATAACAGCTCTATATGATCTTGGCTAAATTGGAGTAAGATAAATATATCAAATGTAAATAATAAAACTAGAAAAAAACTAAGGATGCTATTACTATGGTGTTTCAAAATTTTCCTGGTATGGCAACATACTAAACTCTCACACATGTGTCTAGTTCTATCTATATCAGTTTCTGTACACAAAGCTCATTTAGAACTTCTTCTTCTTTGAACACAACTGCTGATTTATAAGGACCAGTAAAAATTTTTCTACAAAGAGCAATTATTAACTTTCGTCAAACCTTGATGCTTATTTTTTGACGGAATTCTATAAAAATATTGGCTAATAAAACAAAAAAATCACTGTAGTAATTCAATATATATTATTGATACCTTTTATTAGCAATCATAAGAAAACATTAATTTCTTTTTGTTTTATATAATATATAAAACAAAAAGAAATTAATGTTTTCTTATGATTGCTAATAAAAGGTATCAATGCAAAATTTAAATCTATTTCAAATCATAGAACTTTTAATATAAATGATTTTTATTCGCAAAAAAAATTTGCTAATAAATGCAATAATCTTTTAATAAAGTTTGATTTTGCCAATAACTTTTGCATAACCCGATTATCCAATTATCATAAGATCAAAAAATAAAAAATATTTGTTGTTACATTCAAAAGTACTTTTTGTTCAACTAAAAAGAAATTCTTTTAAAAGGACGATTAAATATCGTTTAATTCACCCATTACTTAAGAAAAGCGTAGTAAATATTAATGCAAACTTTATATTTTTAAAATTTATTTTAAAAGCAGTTTATGATTGTTTGATTTAGTTTTTCTGACTTCAATCGTGATTAAAAAGTAGATTTTAGGCAGCCACGCGCAACCAAACCAAGTTGATGTTTAGTCGTAGTGTCGACAAATATTGAACAATTGATCTGCTTCTTTCCCCTCTTAACATAGCACTTAAATATAGCGACGCATATAAAAAACAAAAAACAAAAAAAAACTAAGCAAAAAAAAAAAAAAAAAAAAACTTTTTTAATAATATAATTGTTTATATATGTTTTAAAATAAAAATAATTAACTCAGCGCTTAAGACAAGAGAAACCAAATTTCTTTAGTAATAATTATATTAACGAAACTTTCAAAACAACAAGGTAAATATTAATCAAATTTTTGTAAAATAACATGTCCTTGACAATTTTTAATCGCGATTTTGGAAACATTAGAATATTGATCAACATAATGAAGCAAATATTGAGGCGCACGCATCCCTAAGGCAAACATTTTTGATTTAATAATTATAAATATATCGATTCAATAAAAAAAAATTACATTCACTTTAAATTATTTAATGATTTCCGCTTCCACTATATCTATTCTGTAAACTTCCGATAACACCAGAAGCTAAACTTGAAAGCTAAAAATAAAAAAGTTTTAAGAGATAATAATTATTACTTAAATATTAAATAAAATAACTCGATTTATTAACACAATTGATAAAAACTTGTAACTGTTTTTAAATTAAGAAAATTGAAGTTACCTTTCCAGTAACATTCTGAACACTATCCTTTATATTTTGCATGTCCACCGAAGAACCTGAATTAAAAAACTTGTCAATTTTTAGACTATTTTTAAATGAAAAATATTTGTGTTAAGTTTTTTTAATAAATAAACCTTGTTTCTTTTTTTCGCCAAACAAATCAGCGCTTGAAATTCCACTTGAACCATGATATTGATCTAGTCTTCCACGTGTTGTATCATTCTATTTAATATATTATTAATTATAATAATAATTATTATTGGATCATTACTTTTTTTTTGTTAAATGATTATTTTATTATAAATTCACATAATAAAAATAAAACTTACTTGGTTATTTCCAAAAACTTGATCTGATGAAATTCCTTTAGCGTTTGCGAACTTTTTCTGCATCTCATCTTAAGATGAAAGAGTTTATAAGATGAAAGATTTTTTAAGATAAAAGTTGATCTATTGATACTTGATAATAAGCTACGAACCACTTGTACTGGGCTCTTCAGCCACCAATGGTTTGTTTCTGGAACGACTAAAGTATATAAGCAATAGAGTTAAAAGATAAAACAAGTTTCAGATAATTCTTTTTGAAAAAAAAAGTTGCATTTTGTCAAAAAAAAAATTTAACCAGCTTTTAAAATCAAATAAGTCACGAAAACAACGAGACAAAAATCTCCTGCTCAGTCAATATTTTACAACGTTAACGTCAAAATGATACACACATAATAAACAACTAATTTAAGTACTATAGGCTTCAAAAGGTAAAAATAAAACAATGGATTTCAAAATTATGTAATAAATTTTTTTTTTCAATTAACCATCTTATTAATCTTATACTGTGTACTTAGTTCCTGCTGAAATAAGGATAGGCAGTGGCCTCAGCGCAAGCATTGATTTAAAAGTTTAGGCAGACAAGATTATAATGATCTATTATGGCAAAAGAAAAAACAGGTTTTGCATTATCCTTTTTTATCTAGTATTTATGTCTGGAAAGTAAAATATCAAGTGAAAGCAGAATGAGGATCGGCTTTTTCCAAACCCGACCCTGACCTGGCAAAATTATAACATTTAAGAGGGGTTAATAGCCAGGGCTAGAAAAAAATTTATAATACTTTATATAGTATAAATTTATGCATACATTTACTATTTATTAAATACTGGCATATATATATATATATATATATATATATATATATATATATATATATATATATATATATATATATATATATATATATATATATATATATATATATATAATATATATATAAACTAATACACCTCTAACAAGGTTGAAAGCAAACACTGTTAAGTTATGAGTTACTAGAAAACAAAAGATAGAGTTACAAGGAGAGGAAATGAAATTAACTGAAAATTAACTGAAAACTTAAAAAGTTGCAGTCAGGAAAACATGAAGATGAGTGAGAGTTTTGAGATTTTGTTGATGTGTAAGAAGAAAAACTAGATCTATAAAAATGTTTATAGCATGGAGGGACAGATGCAGTAAAAGGTAGAATGACAGGCTGAGCAGGAATGAGTTTTGGTTGATCAAACTTTTTATTAGACTATAATATGATAGTATTTGTAGAAAAAAGAAAGAGATGCAACCTTACAACAATGGGAGAGTGGCTCAAACTTAGCAGATAAAAGACCTAACTACATTTACAATGTACTTTTGGAACTTGCGTTAGAGTAAGAGGTTGTCTTAAATTCTTCATTATTTGAATGCCAAGAATATTGTGATTGTTGTTAGCAATAAGCAACAATAACCCAACAATAAAAATTTTGCTGGAGTTAAAATCCTCAAGAACTGATTGACCAAGCAGAAGAGAAATCAGATTAAAGATGAGTTCTAGGCAATCAAAAAACGAAAACTTTTGATCGCTTGTTTTAAGGGATCAAAATGTCAAGACAAAAGTAAAAGAGTAAAGCAAAAGCTGAGTTGTCAGCAAATAGAGCCAATTAAAATGTAAGATTGTCAGGCAGATTTGTTATCGTAGGTAAGAAACAATACAGGAGCAAAGATAAAACCTTGCAGTACTCCTAAAGTTACTAGAAATAAAGAAGAGTCTAGGCTTTCAAGAATAAGTTTAATACTAGGGTTAGAAAGAAATGATATAGTAATCTTTAAACTTTTATATGAAGAAACTTATACTAAAGAGAAGATCATAGAATATTTGAGAGATCAGAGTATTTTTTAGAGTTTTTAAATACTGGAAATATTTTCACTAGCACTTCATAATAGTTTAACGAAAACTAAAGAGATTCTGGAGAACACTTTTGTAAGATTATAATGGTCACGTGGTCTGAACCACAAACCATAGAAAATTAAAATTGAGAATTGACTTTTGGAAGCCAGAGTGTTCTAGATGTCTAACAATGGTTTAATCTATTTAACTGGAATGACAGAAAGAGTTTGAACATTACATTCAAGAGTCAAAATAGGGAAAAAGTTCTTTGCAAACAACTCTTATTTTGGGGAAGAGTAATAAGATCAGAACCATGAATTAGAGATAAAAGCTTGACTGTTAAAGATTTTCCAAATGCCTCTGGTAAATCTTGAACAGCAAGATAAGATACAAGAATTAAAAAACGTTGATAGTTTTTGTATTTTTTATCTTCTTGGAGGTAAAACTTATGTTTTTATAAAAATAACAATAAGAATATGTTTATTAACATGAGTTTTTAATATTTTGTTGATCCTCCCTTATATCTTATAACTGTGCAATGACGATTTGGCATGCTATAAATGCCAATTCTTTCAAATTTTATAGCCATTTCTTTCCAATGTGCTAAATAATATTTTCAATCAACTGGGTCCTATTTGTTACCTTTTCTAGAGAAATTCCTCTCTTTAATAGTTCTCATACATTTTTATGGGGTTTAGATCTGGGGAGTTGCCTGGCCAATCCAAAAGTGGAATTTTTAGATATGCCAATAATTTTTTAATGGATTTCGCCATGCGACATGGTGCACCATTTTGCATAAATATTTTTTTCTGCTTATTTGGAAACCACTTCTTCAATTGAGGTAAAAGACGGGTTTAATGACTTTTTCATATTGGTCCTGTTTCAATATTCCATCCACAATGTATAGTTGATCAAGACCTTTTCCAATAATAACTGACCAAAACATGACTTAAGGAAGGTTTTTAATTGTCTGGATTATAAAATCTTCACAAAATTTTCCATTGGAAGCCTTTTTCACATACTGAGTCAGAATTTCTATGGTAGACTCATTGCTGAAGCATATCTGGCGAAAACAAAATAAAAATAATCACTAAATACCAACACTGGAGAATTAGGAAAAAAAATATTTTTGTATTATAATGACTTGCCAATTTCCAGTCATCAAAAGTAAAACTACTGGACTTCTTTGCCCAATCCACGCACATTTTTCTCTAAAATTTGATTAGGTTTGGCTTTTTTCCTGGCCTTCTATTTTTATGCCCAATCTATAAAAACATTGTCGATCAGTGATTGTCGCTACATTTAATTCCAGCTCATTCAACTTGCTAGTAATTGTATATAGCAAATCTACTTTGCTTTCACTATTTTTACTAGCTTCCTCTCATTCCTTGGTGTTATTTTCCTTTTTTGAGCACATTTCCTCTGCTTCTGAATATCTAATGAGAAGCCATTTTTCAATTTGTCTTTATGTTTAAAGTTTGTCTTGATATCTTACATTTACTTAATATTTCACTTATCTAGTAATGCTTATATTTCAGAAGATTTTGAATAGTTGCTTCTTTTATAGAACTGATGTCTTCCTTTTTCCTCATTTTGTTATTTAGAACTTTTAGACAATTTTTTTACTTAAAAATTATTTTAAAACACATAAAAATTGTTTTGTATTAAAAATATTGAAGCAAAGTATACAAAATGTATAAATATTGTTTAAAAATAGTTTAAAATATATTATAATATAAATCTAAAGTAATTAAATCAGAATAGTCAAAAAAAAAAATTACTGCACTTAAAGGAAACAGTAACAGTACGACAGACTAAACACAAACATCATGAATTAAACAAATGTTGTTTGTCCCCCTGAAAGTAATTTTATTTTGCTAATAGCCTAAAAGTTACAAATTAAAAAAATATAAATCAGCAAATAAAGACATTGTGAGCCAATTTTAATGGCACCTAAACCATTAAAAAGTTACAGCTCTACAAAATTTGTAAAGTAGGCTAATAAATTGACCAGGAACTGTGTGTGTGTGTGTGTGTGTGTGTGTGTGTGCGCGCGCGCGTATATATATACATATTTTAACAAAAATTTTAAATTATAAAAATATATTTTCGGATGTATCAATGTTTATGCAACCTCACAACCTGGCCTCTACTATTTTATATCACAAACCTGGCCTCGACTATTTTATATCAAAGTTGGGTCCGGCCCTGGGCCATGTTAATATCAACCCCAATCACTTACTAGTGTGACATGCAGATCAAAATGCATAGTAGTAAATACAATAGACTTTACTCCGCCTTTTAGTAACAAAATTTTTTTAGTAATAAAAATACAAAATTAGCCACATAAATAAATGAGGCATGAAAGTTTTTTCCATAGAGGAAAAAAACCAAGCGTAAAAATATAGTTAATTATAAAAATACAAAAGTAAGCTTGATTAAAATAATGTAGATATTAAAATAATGTAGATATTAAAATAAATTTATTTACTTATTGCAGTTTTCTTCTCTGTCAGATTTATAAGATCTAGTTCTAAATAACAAAAACAAATTTAAAAATATTTATATATATTGTAAACATAACATAACAACTTAGTCAAACCAATGGTAGCATACTTCATTGGTAAAAAATGGTAACATAACATACCCGCTGTCTGACCCCCAAGAAGCCTTTCTAATTGAATGACCGTTGTAACTTTTAAAATGAATAAAAAAAAAGTAAAATTAGAAAAAAAAATTTGAACAAACAAATTAAGTAAAAGATAGCAGGCATTTACTTGTAATGAAATAAAAAAACACCTAGGTGGCTCCTCTATTATATCTTCTTTGTAACTACTAAATCCAGATAATCCATCAAATCCACTGACACTAAACATTTTAATCAAATGTTACAACTCTTTGACAATGGATAATCCACCCCAATTAATTTAAAATTTTTAAATCATAAATATTTTATTATAAGCATATATACACAAGTTTAACACATCATAAACATACACAATAAGCACTTCATAAAAATACACAAGTATAACACTTTACTAATATACACATGTACAACACTTTATTAATATACACAAGTATAACACTTCATAAATATACACAATTATAACACTTTATTAATATACAATATAAAACATAACACTTTATAAATATACACAAGAATAAGACTTCATTAATATATAATATAAAATATAACACATAATAAATATACACAAGTATAACACTTCATTAATATACACAAGTATAACACTTCATAAATATACACAAGTAAATCAACACTACATAAATAAATCTTATACAAATTTAAATTCCTTAAATGCTGTTAAAACTTATTTTGATAAAAAAAGTTGAAGAAATCTTTAGTTAATGTAAAAATATTTTATTTGTGTAAACTCTGTTAAATAAGAACCTGTCAAAAAAGTCAGACTTTCCTGAATCATATCTTTCTTTGCTACTTAATTCAGATGACTTATTTGGCTTCACCTGTTCAACAGTTCTCATGCTTTCTGAAACTGAATGGCTAACTGCACTGAAATATATTAAAAAATCATCCTGATTGTACATGTAATCAAAATATATTAATGCTTTTTTTTTTTAAAATAAGATAACAGCTATAAATATTTTAAAGATGAAAAACAAATTATAAAATATAAATACTGCACATTTACCTTTTATTTCCAAAACCCATGCCTAACCGCTCCATTTGCTCAGCTTTCTTTGGATCCAAATTTTTAATTTTTTCTTCCTCTCTTTTCATTGCAGCAGTTTTGTAAGTAAACGTTGAAGAGAGAGGAAGGTCTTCTGATTTGGATGAAGTACTTTCACCTGAAGCTTGATGCCGCAATTTATCTTGTTCTTGCGTTTCATTTTCAATGGCAGCAAAATCTGCTTTTGACTGAATAATATAAATGTAGTTCCACAGAATATACTTTTCAACCAACCAAATATCAGTAAAATAACAAATTAAAATAAATTGTATTACCTTAGCTGCACCAAGACCACCTTTTTTTACCCCAAGCTAGAAAAATTATATTAAAAAAATAACATTAATGTACATTAAAAAAGTAATAATGGAAATTCTCCACACACAAAAAATAATTTAAATCTAATACTCCTTTTTTCTTAGATGCCACAGGTTTTCGACCACCAATAGTTGATACTCTAACATCTATTAAAATTTTGCAAAAACTTTTTTATTTCAACTAACTTAAAATATAGAAATTATTAAAATTTTCACATTCTATTTATGGGGCAATATTATTTTAATCTTTAATAGAACAGATTTTATTTTTATTTCAAATAATAAAAAACATTAATTTTATGCTTAAAGATAAATGCTGTTTATATATATATATATATATATATATATATATATAACAAAATAAATATATATTATAAAGTTATCAAAAGGATTGTAAAAAAATAAAATTGTTAACCTTTTTTTGGGGGTGAAGTACTTAAATGACCTAAATCAACATCTTGTTGGTCTAAAAAATAATTTGATAAAAGAACTATATATATATATATATATATATATATATATATATATATATATATATATATATATATATATATATATATATATATATATATATATATATGTGTGTAACAAATTGTTACAATATTTTTTTTACATTAATTTATGCAGTGTTTTCAGAAAAAGAAAAAAACAAAGAATAACAAAAGCAAAGATTGCTGCCCCATGTCAAACCCTCAGTAAAAAGAGAAGAATGAGGAAAAAAATATACCAGATTCATCAATAAAACTTGATTTCACAACTAATGCACTTGATTCTGTTGGTGATAAATTTTCCTCAATGTTTTGAAAAAAATCTACTTCTTTTTGCTCAGGAGTAGTAGCTGGTTGGTGTTGATCAATAAGTAACTACAAGAATAAAAACTTGTCAATTAGTTTTTAAAAAAGTTAAAAACTAATTGACAAGTTCCTCACTGCATTTTTGATTTTTAATAAGGTTATTAAATTTATTTAAATGAAAGATAAATGTAAGTTAAAAACTTCTTACCGAAGAAATACCATTTTCGTTTAAATGCTTCAAAGCTAATGAATTAAGTTTATCTCGGTACATTGCAGCAACACGACTTGAAATTTGATTTTAAATAAAAAGAGTTTGTTAAAAAAAAAAAAAAAGAGTAACATCAATATAAACCAAATTTATAAAACTATTTAAATATTGGGGTGTCATAATTTTAAGAATGTAAAAAAGTTAAAACACTTTTTTGGTACCAATTTTAGATACAGAAAACAAAATAAACAATATGTAATCATAAAAATATAAATTAAAATGTTCTATTTGAGTTGATGTACACCTGTACTCAATTGTATATGAGTTGATGTACACCTGTACTCAATTGTATTTGAGTTGATGTACACCTGCACTAATTTATTTGAGCTGACTTAAACACGCAATCATATTTATTCCAGTTGTTTTACATTTGCTTTATATTTACTTGACTGCACTAATAATTAACTTCAATAAAAAAAATTAAATAAAAAATAAAATAGAATAAACTCATTTTTATAATTAAATGTACAAAAGGTAAAAATATTTAGTAAATTGCATTATCTTACAATATTATTTATATTACAAATCAACTCAAGATTTATAACATAACTGATTTTAATAACTGTTTAAAATATATGGCAATATAGGAGCATTGAGTTTGAAATTATATTAGCAGAGGTTTCTTAATTGCAAACCAAGAAGCAAAATTAGGTACAACCTTTAAAGCAACATAATATTTGAGAACTTCAAGTCTAAAAGTGGAATAACTACTCAAAAAATGTATTTTATATCCTTTATTGAAAGAAGAGATTTAATATTATTTTATTAAATGTGTTTTTTATTAAAAACTTAATAAAAAAGTAATTTAAAAGACTCAAAATACTACATGTAATATAATTACAAAAAAAAAATTATTATTTATCATAACTAATTTCTTAAATTAGTTAAAATTCAAACCTGCTACTAACAGGTATTTCCTCAAGTGCATGAAGGCCATTACAGTCGAGAAGGCTACTTTAGATGTAGTTACAACCCTCTCTCAACTCTATGACTCCAAAACACAAACCTTCGCTCGCTTTTCTTCATTCTTCGTGTTATGTATAGTTGTAGTGGTGGGTTGTCAAAAGATTTATTTAAATAAAATGTCAAAACTTGCTAGAAACCCAAAAAACTACTAATCAAATTTGGTTAAAAACAAAATTAAAATTGGTTAAAAAAAAAATTAAAATCACAAAAATAACAGACAAATACAGATTAAAACAAGAAATTATAAAAAAAAGTGTAATGAAACTACATTACTTTTTAACATCTTTTTACTATAACTAAAATGTGGTAGTGGTGTAGTGGTAGAGCGCTGCCCTCATAAGCAAGAAGTTCCGAGTTAAATCCCCACCACGTCCATGCTAGCTGCTAGTTCAACTTGTTTCTCCGCACAGCGGACTTGTTCATCAAGGCTCGTGTTTTGGAGTCATAGAGTTAAGAGAGGGTTGTAACCACATCTAAAGTAGCCTCCTTGACTGTAGTGGCCTTCATGCACTTGGGGAAATGAATTGAAATTAAATAATAATAATAATAATAATAACAGATCCTTAAACATGAATGATTTTTTTCTTAAACATCAATGATTTGGGATTTTCTCTAATCTTTATGTTTTTTTTGACTTATATAATCTTTATGTTTTCTTGACTTATATATTATAACAGTTTATCATGGCTTTTAAAACTCATTTAAACTTTCTAGAAAAATAAACAATATAATTGCATTAAAGGGACTACCAAGTCCCGAGACATGTTGTGTTCATATTAAAGAGAATGTTAAAAAAAAATGTCTGAGCAAATTTTTTTTTGATTAAAACTAATTAATAAATGTATACCAAGAAAAACAAATCTTGTTGTTTTAGTCGAAGCTCGTCTTCTCCATTTTCTCTGGTATTTTGAGTATGTAAAATAAACGCGATTTTCAAATAGCTAACTATAGTTACTTATTTTATTAAAAGTTTATTTTATTAATTGTTCGTTAGCTTTTTACAAATCTAACAAACAATTAATTAAACCTAATAAATTATATAATTTGTAATTAACTTTCAAAATTTTGACAATTTAAAAAATATATATTATAAAACATTTATTTTTGTAAACAAATGATAGTTTATAAGTTTTACGGCTTTACAGATGTGGCTCGGAGAATGAGCCATAATATTAAAGTAATAGTTCATTTGATAATAGATTCTTAAAAAAAATTTATGCTAAATATCTCAAAACGCAACAAATTGTAAATAATACAATTCCTAAAACATTTCAACAGAATACTCTAGAACTTTATTTCGCTTAGTCAGCGCGTTTTTTGAACCAATAGAATTAGTTTGTTTGCAAATTTGGCGGGTTTTTAGTGTTCGCGAATATTCTTTTTATTCTTCCGCAAGATGTTTTAAGAACATTCAAGTTAATTATGTTTCCATGTATGTCTGTAAATTAAAAATTAATATATATTAATTTTTTAATTTTTAAGCCTTCGCCATAATATATATTGGATGTTTTAATGGAAATATAAATAATGAAATAAGATCACCTCAATACCAAAAAATACATTTTTGAAAATCAGAGAAAAAATGCGTTAATAGTTTTTTTTTTAATATTTACAAAGTAAATATTAAAAAGTGCATTATTATTTAGGTTAAAAATTATTTTATCTAATATTTTGAAAGAAAAACTTATAACAAAAGAAATGAAAATACACGTGGTCTAGACGATTATTTAAAAAAAGTTGCACAAATAAAATACTATTTTGTTTTTTATTATATTTTTATTTTTAATTTTATTTATATTTAAAGATATATATTCAGTTTTTAATTTTATTTTGTTTTTAATTTTGTTTTACAAACACATTTTAGAACTTTAAAATATAATGAAAATGAATATGATTTGGAAATTGTATGTAAAAATAACAATCAATTTTTAAACAAACAAAAAAAAAACTATGACGTCATGCACTAAAACACCTATGAATTAAAAGCGCTTGAATAAATTATTAAGTCTGTATAATGCGCCTGGAAAATCACGTTTATTTTACATACTCAAAATACCAGAGAAAACGGAGAGGGCGAGCTTCGACTAAAACAACAAGATTTGTTTTTCTTGGTATACATTTATTAATTAGTTGTAATCAAAAAAAATTTGCTCAGACGTTATTTTTTTAAATTCTCTTTAATATGAACACAACATGTCTCGGCACTTGGTAGTCCCTTTAAAATAAATAGCATAAATACATAAAACGACAAAACTACATTAAAACAACTTGTTTCTCTGCGCAGCAGCTTTTTTGGACAAGGTTCGTGTTTCGGAGTTATAGAGTTGAGAGAGGATTGTAACCACAAAAGTAGCCTCCTCAACTGTTATTAATAATTAAAAAAACAAAACAAAAAAACAACAACAAACATAACATAATTACATTAAATGATGAGATTTCAATAAACAAAAAATGTTTAACACTTGGAAATCCAAACAATATATAACAAAATAGTAATTTCTTATAGTATTTGATAAAAACTTTACCTGTTATATTTTGCTGCAGCATCTTGTGTTAACAAATTGTGTTGGCGAAAAAAAGCATTCTAAAATAAACAACTGTCAACATGACTATATTTCAACTTTTCAATTAACAAAATATATATATATATATATATATATATATATAATATATATATATATATATATATATATCATATATCAATAGCGGCCGATGTTTTGATCTCCCAAAATCAATTCTGGACGATCAAACTTGATCGTCAAGAGTTGCATATCAAACTTTATATTAAAAATTCAAAAATATTTTAAAACAAACGTCACAAAAATCTTCAAAAGACAAAAGTAAAACATTGACACCAAAACGTTTCATATAAAAATTTATATAAACAAAAAGTTTATTACTCTTTAATGAACTATTTTGAATGAAATGAATTTTTTTTTATGAATTTAGTTTGCATTGTTATTTAGAAACAATAAAGTTTCATGAGAAAAATTTTGAAAAATAGTAAATAATGCGAGTTTATGATTGGTAGTAAGAATGTTGACTTCATAAAACATCATAATGCTTTAAGCAAAATAAAATTGTTTTTGTTTAAAATTATTAGAAAATAAGTTTTAGAAGTAAAATTATATAAAAAGTATTAAAATTATCATAAAATAGATGTGAGAAAAAGTAACAGTAAATTATTTCTTTGAAAAGGAAATCAGGATCTGAAACACTTGCTAAGAATAAAGTAAAAGTTTACGAAAAAAAGTTACAATTACAAACAGTATTTCTTTGTTTTAATCAATAAATGTTTTCTTAAAAGTTCCCAATTTTTTTTCGGTCACCAATCGAAACTATAAAAGTTTGACTATTAATATTAGAAAAGCCTTTTTTATTGCATGGAACGCAAGAGAGAAAAACATTTTTTGAATGAATGATATACTTTGATCTAACTTGCGTGTTTTTTTCAATTTTAGAAATAAACTTTGAGTTTGAAAAACTTTGAATGAATGAATTTGCGTATTTTTTTATCAATTTTAAATGTTTTTACTAAACAAT